AAGGTAATGTAATGTAATGTAATGTAATGTAAGGTAATGTAATGTAATGTAATGTAATGTAGTGTAATGTAATGCAATGTAATGTAATGTAATGTAATGTAATGTAATGTATGTACACACATAAAAGCACAGACGCATACCGAGATGCACATGCATACATACATACCTACATGCATACATACATACATACATACATACATACACACATACGAACAAACACATACGTGCACACATACATATATTCATGCATTCATACATATATCATAGCATATAAACATACATACATACATACATACATACATACATACATACATACATACATACATACATGCATACATACATACATACATACATACATAAGTACGCAAAATATGTATATATACATATATATATACACATGGTTCAATACAAATATGTATATAGCTGTGTATATATACATATACATACACATACACACATACATACATATATATATATATATATTACACACATATACCCAAAGATGCATATGATTGCATATGCATAGTCTATCACGCAGTTTGTTTTGGACATATCAACTTGCAAACTTTGATTCAACAAGCTCAGGCGGGCAACATCTCGGTGGTAGGCCTACGTACCGCTAAGAATCCGCAGGAAAAGCCCAACAACGCAGGACCAACGAAGCAACACATGTAAATGTAGCAACACATGTAGATGTAGCTGAAGTAGCGAAATGATGCAGAAGCCTTGTACGAATCAGCTTTACTTCAAAAAGGGCGAACACAAGTTATGGACTCCAGAATGTAGCCCATGAAACTTGAAGTGCAGATTCCAGGCCTGCCAGGCCTTGACACCTTCCATGAGTTGCTGGTCCGCCACGCGGGCATTCCTGGGGCTGCGGGTGAGTTGTTACCTGCTTCCTGCTTTTGGACAAATGTTGTTGTTTACTCCTTGTTACCAGTAGTTTGTTGTGGGGTTTTGGGTCCTGGGTTTAGGGATTCGGGAAGAGTTAGGTTTCAAGCCGTAATCAAGCTTGTGGATGAGGCCATGACCAGTGAAGCTCAGGGCACTCCAACAATAACTAGCGACTACTCATAGATTCATACTACTCGTTGTGACGAATGTGTGTGCTCCTAGCAAGGACTACGTTGATGTCTTTGTACAACATATAGCACCCTTTTTAGTCAGAGAGTGTCATGTAGAAGTTCGAGAAGCCAGAAGATTGAAAGCACTATGCCGAGTCCCTGGCTGCGTCTTGACCATGTTCTCCTGGCTCCCAGCGATGTCAACAACGAGCCGACGAACTGATTCCCGACCCTTTCCGCCGAAGTGTTGCTGCTCCATGACACTGCTAGGTTCCTGCTTGCAGGAACTCCCAAGAAAGAAAGCCACATGTAGCTCTCCAAGGTCTGCCGCACCTCCCTCGCAAGGGATGTCTTCAGCTCCTGCGGTGATCACACAGTCATGCGACCTTACGAACATTCATGCCAAAAGAAAGCTGGGCCAGCTGCGAAACTCAAAAACAGCCTGGGACAACATCGTTTGGGAGGAAGAGAAGGAAGGGCAGCCCGTCCCCAAATGACGGCTTGCGTCCATCTTCGGCTTCACTCATGCAGCTCCGGGCTGCAAGCACGCTTTTGCTCTCTCCCTCTGGTACGTAGTCAGATGATGTGTAATCCAGTGGGACGAGTGATAGCAACAGCAGCATCAGGATAAACAACATCGTCGTCTGCATGAGTATGACCCTCGTCACGATCATGGCTGGCATACTCGTCTTACAGTGTTTCCTTGCAGTAAGGATCCGAAAACTGATGGGTCGAGAGTTTCGAGTCCCTTACTTTCTGACAAACAGACGGAATGTCTCACTCCCGTGCAACAACGTCTGTATGGCCTCTCCGCGCTGTCAACGGGGCGGGCTGAGCTGTGTCGGGGTCCGCAGAACAAAAACGCGGTCAAATACGCCGCGAGGGTTTCCACGACTGTAGACATCTTGGTGTGCCCTACACATCAATGGTGTGTCTTATGTAGAACCATCCCAAAGTCGTTTCAAGGCAGGGCCACCTGAGAATAAAACATAAGCGTCTAGAGTTGGAGGCTCAACGGTCGATAAGTGTCCTTCCAGTAAGTGCGGCGAACCGACTCATCTCCGAATGCTCGCTCCTGCTGAGTCAAGTTTTCAGATTTCAGGTGGCCATGCACATGCACTACCTGCGCAGCAGGACACGGAAAGTTCTTGCAAGCCACTGACTCTTCGCAGGCCCACGACCAAAACAGGCAGAACGGAAACACTGCGCCTCCCATTGAGCTTTCAGAGCACGCTTGCGGTCGCGGACAACCGTGAATAGTGCCTGAATTGCACAGCCGGGGAGAAGCCAGACTGTTGATCAGAGCAGCACCTGACCTCCAACAAACGGGAATTAGCTTGCTCGTGGGGTCTGCGGCCAGAGCTGAAAGATCCTTTGGGGATAGACCGATACTGGTACTGGTATCCGGACATGCATAATCATAAACAGCAGGTCGAATCTACAGACAAACCCAAAGCCTCTACCCTTTCGAAGGAAAGCAAGCACGCCTCCTCGCTCAGCGGAAGCTTCGCGCCACCTGACTGGCATCCGCAGGATAACATGAGGGCCTCAATAATTAGAATAGGGTTTTGGGGTATATTATACTATAGTTATAATATCAGGACACCCCAACAGGTAATTCTTCAGCCCCTACCTTATTTACAATGTATCAGGGGCTGATTCGCTGACCCTTGACACGGTAGGAGTGTGTTTGTTTTTCTGCTGTTGCTGCTTTTTTGCTGCTGCTGCGGCGGGGTGTTTTTGTTTGTTGTTGCTGCGGGGTGAGGGGGGGGGGGTAGTTTGTTTTTTGTTGTTGCTGCGCGGGGGGGGGGGGGGGGGGG